GTAACACAAATTACACAAATTTACAAATGTTAACACAAATTACTCAAATTAATTTGTAAAGACTAATATGTTGTATTTTTAAGACTAAAATTAAACAATTTTATTAAGATTTCGTCGACTAAAACTCGACTAAAACCATTATTTATAGAAATAACTAAAACTGACTAAAACAAAGAAGTATTTTTGTTCATAAGACGAAGACTAAAATTAAAATGGCAGTCAAACACAACACTGATGTGAGGGATCCTTTTCAGCCCGCCCTATCCCAAGATGCATTGCGGGTCGACTGGAGATAGTTTATTTTTTGCTTGCAACAGTGGACGAAGGGAGAGAAAGGATAAAATAGAAAATTTAAAGCGGTTGTGTTGTTAGGCTTTTTTCATTTGCATAGACGTTGGTATGGCTAAATAAACATGCTCCTATGGTGGGTTTGTTAGTTCTCAAATATTGCATCTAAAATAATTTTGTTAATTTATAATATTAATAATACTAATAGATTTATATTTAGCTAATTTCAATCTATTTTTGCTATGTTTTAGCATTGGGGTAAGGGCAAGAATAAAGCAGAAAGCTAAACAGTCCAAATTTATTGTCACTTATTTTCGGTCTTTGTGATCGACCAAGGACCCGGCCCATCTGTGTTCTTTGGACACAGTCATTGAGTGTTAAAAAATTGGATTAAGTGCTTCGTTTTTGGCACCGACTTTTATGTCCTCCTAGAGATGAATTGTAAATACTTTTTATATTCAGAACTTTGTCCRTAAACTATAGGTACAGTAGAGGGCTAATATTCCCATCATGCATATTTTTATCTGCACCTGAATAAATGGACTTGCAGATGGTTAAAATCAACAGATGATTGTCAGTTTAAGAGCTGAATGAGGTGAATAACAAAAGAATGTAACCATCCAGACTTCACTTATTGGTTTGCGAAGAAACAGTTTGAAGCCTTGAATTGACAAATTGCCTGTTGACCACTTGGCCTCTTTTAGACCTTAGACTGATTGGATTTGATTGAGAGCAAAGAAAGCCAAGCTTTMATACAAGACTAGCAAGTTAAATGTTTTACTAAGTCTGTAGTTCACATTTATTGATATTAACTGGACGTTCAAAAATATCAATCAAGAATCTGTTACACCTTGCCTAAAAAATGTACCATTGAATACATTCAGGAAAATTAAGCTCATATGTTTTCATTCTTTTTTCAGAAGTAATCTTATGTATTTCAGGTTCCTCAGGAGTTATCTGCAAAGCCTACATTCTTTACCTCATCACCACCTAATCCTATTACAGTTCTGAATCAATGAACTACAGTACAACATATCATTAATGTCAGAGAGGTGAAGAGCACCAAAGGCAATGCTTTCCTCTGCTTTTCATCCTGAGATTACTGCTGCAAACCCTGGTAATATACCTGGGATTAGGAACAAAAGTCTGCCTCGTGGACATGTAAAATTAAATTCACGGTGTATTCAATCACAACAGACATATTGCAAGAAAAGCAGAAGTGAGTGAACTGAAAATGTTACCTGATCTGATGACAATTTATGACGTATTAGTTGAACCAGTTTTTCAGTTCACTTTACAAAAGAAAATAAAAACAAGGAATTATTTTTACTGTTT